TCCAGGCTTTCCGGGTTCCCATTGAATGCCCTATCTGACTTGTAGGCACCTTTTCTCTTAGAATTTCCTATGACATTAGGGGGATTAAACCTTATTTATATGACAAACCTCATTTTTAATTTAATTATTCATTTATTTAATAAATATTTATTGAGCATGTATGTACCAGTCTCTGTGCTTAATAAATTATTAAATTTTAATTATGGTGTGCATGGACAAGTGCCACGGATATGAAAGAGCATAATACTCCCACTTATGTTCTCATTTATGACCAGAATTGATATTAGACTGTCATGAAATTACTGATTATAGCCCAGTTCTGCCAATTATTGCAGTGCCATTGAATTATCTCTATAGAAGGAAAATATTTTATAAAATCCAGACCTAAAGAATACTTAAAGATCTTTTGTAAAGGGATTTTCCTTATTCACTATAAAAGCAATATTTGTTCATTATAAAAGTTAATATGAAAATACAAAGAATAAAAAAACCCTCAATTCCACTACAAAAAAAAAGGTAAGCATTAACTATATATCAGTACATTAGCCCAGATTTTTATCTCCTGTGGGTAAGTTTATTCAGATGATATCTTGAGGTTTCTCTGGCTTGTTTAATTTAATATTTTCACAACAGTATTTTCTAACATCATTAAAAACTCACTGTAAACTTCATTTGATTTCCCAAATATAAATCAAATAAAACGATTAAATTTCCCTGGATTTTTTTACCATCATAAATTGTACAGCAAAAAGTGCTTTGTTGATGTAAATGTTGTGCCAAACGCAGTAGCCATTTGCATTTATTCTGTGTTCACTACATGCTTTGCACGCATAACCTTAATTAATCTCCAGAGTAATGCTTTTAGGTAAAAGCTGTTATTATCTATATTCTATAAATAAGGAAGCTAACTAGGGGAGATGGCTAGGAGGATTGAACACCTGTTAGATGTGCAGTTTCGTGCTACAGGCTTTGTATGCTTTCATCTGTTCCGTGAGGTCACCTTTATTGTACTTCCCATTTTACAGACGCGGTGACTGAGGCAGGGGCTCAGTAGGGAACATCCCCAGTGATGCATGCCACACATGTCTGTGCTGTGATTTGAATGGCAGGCTGGCTTTGCAGCGTGGCTCTTTAGCAGTCCTAGGCATGCACAGCCAGTAAATTGGAGGAATTTACAATTATCCCCTCAGGATGTGTTCCCAGAAGTCAAATTACTACTCTTGAAACATTTCTCTAAGCTGCTTTACAACCATTTACCAAGTTACACTCCAATGAGGAAAGTGAGAAAGTGCCCATGGACACAGGGCCTGTCCATTTGTTTTTAATCTTGCAGGCATGAAAGAGGTCTATTCTTAAAAGTTTAGAGCTGAGCAAAGTAACTCATATACCGCTTGATTTCTGTTTTACATTGAACCATGGCATGCTCTGCTTCTGGTACAGTCACTGTCACCGAGCCTCCCCTCCTCCGGTGATGTGGCTGCTGGGGACCTCACAGAGGTGACCCTTGGACATACAGGCACCTATGTCAGGGCTGTCACTCAGCAAGGGAAGAAAATAAAAGGAGAATCCAGTGAAGGGAAAGGAAAAAAAAGGCGGAAGGAAACACAAGAAGTTCCCCTTACCAGGAGGAAAAATAAGTAAACCTCATGGCTGAATGTCAGAAATAGACACTAGGCATTTATAATTTGGGAATCATGAATTAGTGTGCCGTGGTAAGTGCCTGCTGCTGAGCTGCTGGGCGCAGCCTCATGCGTGCTGGGGGAAGCCATGTGTGACACCTTCCCAGCTCCCAGCCAGGGCAGGGAGAGGTGAGCTAAGTTATAGGCTATTCAAAAGACACAGCTCTGTAGCTCCCTACAGATGCCCTGAGTCAGTGTGGAGTTTATTTGCCTTTGGGAAAAGGTGACATGAATATTTAAATAGAGAAAAAGTGAGAAGAGGTTCACAAATCAGCTAACTTTGGGTTTTCAGGACGACAAGCAGAACTCACAAACCACTTGACTGATTTCGGCGTGAGTGAAGCAGAAGCATATAGGTCAAATTTCTCTTAAACTGCACATGCAGTTCGAAAATCCCAAGTACAAACTGCCTTGGCCATAAGTCATTTATTTTTATTTTGAATTCAAAAATCAATGTGTGCTTCATGGCAGCCTCTGGGTAAAGATACAACAACATAAATATAATTAACGAGCAATGAGCAGCAGAACCCTCTAGACTCAAACCTCATCTCCCTCATTCTTGTCATTTATTTGTTGAAATATCAACTTCCCATAAAGATGGAATAGCCTTAAACCCCAGTTTTCTTGTTGAGAAAAGCACTAACCTTACAAGCATGTGGTGAAACCAGAGATAATATTTACAGAACACTCTGACCACCTAATATGCTATGCTGGCAGCAAATATAATTGTGAACTTTCTCTCTCAGATCATTTAAACCTGTTGACAATAGCAAAGACTTGGAACCAACCCAAATGCCCATCAATGACAGATTGGATACAAAAAATGTGGCACATATACACCATGGAATACTATGCAGCCATAAAAAAGGATAAGTTCATGTCCTTTGCAGGGACATGGATGAAACTGGAAACCATTGTTATCAGCAACCTGACACAAGAACAGAAAACCAAACACCACATGTTCTCACTCATAAATGGCTGTTGAACAGTGAGAACACATGGACACAGGGAGGGAAACATCACACACCAGGCCTGGGGGCTGGGGGGCTAGGGGAGGAATGGCAGGGGGTGAGGAGATTGGGAAGTGATAGCATTAGGAAAAATACCTAATGTAGATGATGGGGTGATGGATGCAGCAAACCACCACCATTGCACGTGTACACCTGTGTAAAAAACCTGCATGATCTGCACATGTACCCCAGAACTTAAAGTATAATAAAATAACTTTAAAAAAAAAAAAAACCTGCCTGCATAATACCAAGATCTAAAAATGCAATGAATCACTTTTTTAAAAAGTGAAAGACTTTAAGAGATTAAACTGACAAGAATTCTGTCAACTGGGCATATGGCATTGTTTCTAGGCACTGTATAGAAGTTTGCTGGAAATAACATTGCCATAGTGACTGTGTAAAGGTATCACACACTTCAGCTGCATCTTCCAGTGGCCGAAGATGGTCAATGGTTGCAACACTTTGGAGGTGTGTGAGATTGTCCAGGTGCTCCAGGGCAGTGGATCTCACACTTGAGCAAGCATCAGCATCCCCTGAAGGCTGTTCAAATGCAGAGCCCCACATCCAGGGTTCTGGTTGAGTAGCTCTGGAGTAGAGCCTGAGAATGTAAGTTTCTAGCCAATTTTAAGGTCATGCAGATGCTGTTGTCCTAGGTACTACACTTTGTTGTTGTTGTTGTTTTTGAGACAGAGTCTCACTCTGTCACCCAGGCTGGCATGCAGTGGCACTATCTTGGCTCACTGCAGCCTCCACCTCCCAGGTTCAAGTGATTCTCCTGCCTCAGTCTCCTAAGTAGCTGGGATTACAGGCACTCACCACCACACTCGGCTAATTTTTGTATTTTTAGTAGAGATGGATTTCACCATGCTGGCCAGGCTGGTCTTGAACTCCTGACCTCTGGGGATCTGACCATCTCAGGCTCCTAGAGTGCTGGGATTGCAGGCACAAGTCATCACACCCACCCCCAGGTACTATACTCTGAAATTCCCTCTTCTACCAAATGCACATTCTTTTTTTTTTTTTTTTTTTTTTTTTGAGACGGAGTTTCACTCTTGTTACCCAGGCTGGAGTGCAGTGGCACGATCTCGGCTCACTGCAACCTCCGCCTCCTGGGTTCAGGCAATTCTCCTGCCTCAGCCTCCCGAGTAGCTAAGATTACAGACACACACCACCATGCCAGCTAATTTTTTGTATTTTTAGTAGAGACAGGGTCTCACCATGTTGACCAGGATGGTCTCGACCTCTTGACCTCGTGGTCCACCCGCCTCGGCCTCCCAAAGTGCTGGGATTACAGGCTTGAGCCACCACGCCCGGCCCCCAAATGCACATTCTTAATGATGTTGTCTAAGTCCATTAGGGCTACCATAAGAAAATACCTTAGACCACGTGACTTATAAACAACAGAAATTTATTTCTCCCTGTTCTGGAGCCTGGGAAGTTCAGGATCAAGCCACCAACAAACTAGATGTCTGGTGAGGATCCAGTTTCTCCTTAATAGATGACACTCTCTCACTATGTCTTCACATGGTAGGAGGACAAACAGGTTCCCCTGGGCCTCTTGTACAAGGGCATTAATCTCAATAATGAAGGCCCTAACCTAAAGGTCCCTCTTCTTAACACTAATGCATTGGAAATTAGGTTTCAACACAGGAGTCTCGAGAGACACAGACATTCTGATCATAGCAGATAGGAATAGATCCCGTTTCCACTTCTCTTTATAATCAATCAGTAAATTGTTGCTCCCTCTAACAGAAGCCGCTTAGAGAAGTCTCAGGCTGCAGAAAGGAAGCATGCATGGCCAAAGGTGGACATTAGGTATGTGGGCACATGACTTGGCCACCGGGTCCCCTCATCACTCAGCTGACAGCACTCCCTACCGTGGGGCTTTTAACTTCTTTAAGTCTTAATTAACGCTTTTGTTCCTTGTCTTAATCTTACATTGCTTATTCCTCGTTTCGCACACAAGCCCCACAAAGTTGAGATTATTAACCCATCTGACAGATACAGCCCCTTAAGCAATTTAACCACGTTTACCCAGCTGGTGTCAGACACTAAGTGTCAGAGCTGGGATTGAGATTTGAAACCGCATCAGTTTGACCCAGTGAATTTGTCTATACCCTTATACTACATAATACTATATATAGTATCATATATGTACTATGTATTATGTACATATAAATATAGTAGTACTATATATAGGAAACTATATATATTTATACACACACACACACACACATATAATTATACATACATCGTTTAGATTTATGTTTATTTGATGCCCCTACTACTGTGGAGATCCTGAAGGTCATACCTCTATTCTGTATCGCTAGCTCCTTGCTCAATTCTGGGTACATAACAGGTGCTCCTTCATTCAGTATTTCTGAATTCCTTCTATGTGCCAGATACCACCTTAATAAAACCAGAGGACAAAAGAAACTTAGGTCACTACTCTGTGAAAGACTGACAACAGACATAATAGCAAAGTCATACGTCATCTTAGCAGATGAAAGTGCTGTGTACAAAAATTAGAGCACAGTAAGAGGGGCCTGAATGGACAAATGAGTGGATGAATTATTAATTCCCAGAAAATACACTTTCTGAACAGTAGTGCCCCTTTTATACTTCTATGTTAAAGACACTCGGATTAGGTTACAAAATGAGTTTCCCTTCTGCCTATGAAAACACAGCTTGAGAATTTCTCTCAAGTCACTTTCAGTAATTTCTTCCGTGTTTTCAGTTCTGCTCTGTCTCTATCTTATTTTTGTTATGTGCCAAGTGTTATTTTTAAAATTTTCCCTTAGGCTAACTTCCTCTTTCATATGTCCAAGATTTCAGCAAACATTTCCTTTTCCCCTATCTTGCCTTCCAACTCCTTTCATCCAAAACAATCTTACTGTTTCTTCTAGACTGCCTAAGATCTCCGTACAGGTTGACTAAAGCAATTACTCTTTCCATCACACCTCTGGGAATGTGGCGTGTTATTGTTAATGGTACATGTGACAACTCTCACGTGAACAGAGGCTTTTTAGGAAACAACAAGGATGTAAAGGACAAAGAAGTTGATTCTGGAGAAAATCATGAGAATCTGCAAATTCCGTCTTTTAAAGGGTCAGCTTCACCTGTTATCATCGGAGTTAATAGAGAAATGGGCATCAACAAGTGAGCGAGCTCAAAAAGCAACATGGAAATCACCGTGGTGACTCAGGCCTGGTCGGCCACATCAGGTCTGTGTACAGATCAGCACTCTTGAGGGTGTTTTTTTCTCATCAGGAAGCTTCTTTATGGAGGTGGGAAAGCTCTTACACATATTTTACTCCTTTCTTTTCCCTTGAGGGTGTTTTTTTCTAATCAGGAAGCTTCTTTATGGAGGTGAGGAAGCTCTTGTATATAATAGTTTTCTCCTTTCCACGATGTCATGTATTTTTCTAACGGGCTGAAATATGTTGGATACAGCTCAGATGACATGCATGGGCTCCTGGGCTGTGAAAACCATTTTTCAGAGGGCCATGAACTCCAATGGCTCTGAGTTAAGGGTAAAATCCAACTACAGAGGAGTGACGTTTTCTCGACAAGAAAGGAGTTGGATGGGCAGTCTCTGCCTCGTGTCATCCACAGATTGGATGGGGACGCTAGTGAATTGGGGCTGAGTGGGAAGAACTGGCTTCCCAAGCCCCAACTCAAAACTGCCAATTAAGGAAGCACCTCTGCACAAGAGGCTCTTTTTACTAAAGGAAGTGAATACAGACTAGCAACATCGACCTTGCTGGGGAGCAGCAGGAAAGATGATCCAAAAGACCAATGCACAGAGAAACCCTTTTTTTTTTTTTTTTTTAGAAAAACAGAAGAAACAGAATATTATTTGGTAACAGCTGCCAAGAATTACAAGACTCAGAAGAAATTAGGAGGCAGCAGCTGTAAATGCACAGCATGAAAGGAAATGCATCTCACAGTTTTAAGGGGAAATGGGGCCTGCTCCACTCAAAGACCAACAGTAAAATTCATTTGAAGCCATGGGGCATCCCTGGGAGGACTGAGGGGAGCTTCACAGGCTCTTTCACGTCAGTCAGGGAAAAATATATACTTGATAAAATGTTTTTCTCAAATTAGTTAAAACGTGGCTAAGTATCAATTTTATAAACGTATCAACTTTTGGGGCATCAAAAATTGCTTTATGACTCATGCATTAATTTAATAAACTGTCAATAAGAACATACCTTGTGATGTGCCAGTTGCTAGATACTGAAAAGCCCGTAAGAAGTGGCTTTTGTTCTTGTACTCTAAGAGCTCACTGCCTTGTAAAGATTAAAGTATTTAAATTATTCCATCATGTATCTCTTGAGTTTCCCAATTAATCAGTTAAAACAGGGAGCCCGAGTTTCTTGGGCAGTATAATCAGCCTCTTTGGAGAGGCACATTATACAGTAGTAACACCATGGATTTGAATTCTCTCTGCCACACAGTGGTTGACCCTTAGCAGAGTTTCTTAACCTCAGTACTGTTGACATTTGGGGGTAGATATGGAGGCACAGGACTTCCCTGTCACAGGTGCCATCCTGTGCACTGTAGGGTTCAGGGCATCCCTGGCCTCTACCCCCTAGATGCCAGGAGTGCCTCCCATTTTTGACAACCAAAATTGTCTCCAAACTATGTCAAATGGCCCCACATTAACTGCACTAGTGCATAATTTTTTAAAAAAAAATCAAGTTAACATTGCTTCCTTTTACTTTCCATGGCCCTCTGTAAAAAGAGGAGTTTGAAGTGAATTATGACAGTAGTCCATGGTTTGGGACCTTTAAAGGGAGTGTGTTTTAGGGGAACACTCATTCTTTAGATTCCATCCCAATTCCATCCATTTCTGCTTGTTAGCTTTGGGTAAATTCCTTACTCTCACTGAGGCTTGGACTCCTGTGCAAATGCAGGAATGGCATGGGACTTAAAAGATGCATGTCATAGTGCCCAGCACACAGGAGATGCTCCTCAATTCAGGACTAAGCTCTTGCAGCAATTCTCAAACACTGCTCTTTTATCTAATCTGATGATTGCACATTCCTGTGGATAAATTTATCAGTAAGGAAGACAAACCAGCTGTTCTGACAGTCTCAAAATGTCAAAATGAATAACAGAATTAAAGTTTTCTCTTGCTATTCCCAGTCTGGTAGAGACGTTCCTCACAGTCTCTGCTCCAGAGAGCATGAGGAATCCAAGCTCCCTCCATTGCTAACATGGCCGTTCATGGTCTCTAAGCCACCACACGTGGGCCAGGTGCACAGACACGCCACTGTGGCCTGGAGGGGACACATTCATCCCAGCAGCCAGGAGAGCCACACGATGCCACCTGCACACAGGAAGCCTGTGGAGGGCAAATAGTTCTCTCTGCCAGTTAGGCACTAAAAATAAAGATTAAATTAACATGCTGGCTTTGATACAAACACTTTATAGTATAAAGGGAAACAGAAGCAGAAACAACCTAAGATACCAACGTTAAGTGACATATAAGCTTCCACTTATATTGTCAAATAAGATTGAATTATAAGCCCCTTCAGAGAAAATTGAAAATGCACTCCCAGCAACTCTAGAGCAGGCAGGCAAGTGCTCAGAGGGTTTTCCAAGAAAGCCCGAGGTAACATCTACGGAAGCTTCCTCTGCCCTCCAGTAAAGCTTCTCAAGACAGCTGATCTCATCTTTGATCACTCTAGAATGTTAAACCTACATTCACATTGGGATCATCTTTAGTAAGAAACTGATGTGAATATTAGAAAATAGAAATAAAAATACATAACTCCTAATTTGCTTTAGGGATGTGTATAAATGATTAGATCTATTACGTACCTTTTTTAGAAATGAAGGTTACGAAATGCCACAGATAAAATAATTTTAGTGACTGTATCAGTTTTCTACACTTCCATGACCAAATACCACAAACTCAGTGGCTTCAAAGAACACAAATGTATTATTTTACAGTTTGAAAGATCAGGAGTCTGAAGTGGGTTTTCTATACTAAAAGCAAAGTACCAGCTCAGCTGCATTCTCTCCAGAGGCTCCAGGAAGGAATTCACTTCTGTGCCCTTTCCAGCTTCCAGAGGCTGCTCACACTGCCTGGCTCATGGTCCCTTCCTCCATCACCAAAGCCAGAAGGATGAGTCTCTTTCTGATTCAGCCTCTCTCTGCTTCTACTGTCACCTAGGCTTCTCCCCACATGACCTTCTGCATCCTCTTAGGAGGGCCCTTGTGATTACATTGGTTGCCTCTAGAAAGTCCAGAAGCATCCCTTATCTCAAGATCCTAAGCTGAGTCCTATCTGGAAAGGCCCTTTTACCATGTAAGTAAGATAACATTTCCATGGATTCTGGGATTTAGATGTGGGCACCTTTGCAGGTCCACTACTCGGCCTACAGCAGTGAGTCATGTGCAGAATGTCATTACTGCTGCAGCTTAATATTTGTATGTTAAGCATAGACACATTGCAGATTTCCTCCTCGAGTTAAAGAGTAAATGATGACAATGTTTATGATGATGCTGGACCCCATACCTTCAAAATAGTGGAATATGAAGAACTTAAGCTTCACAACATTTCAGAAGAGCCCAGCTGCAAGCAGTCATGGCGAGTGGGTTGGCTTCAGAGAGAATCATCAAACCTAGACGAGATATTTAAGAGGCAATAATAACTGGAGGATTTTTCCAAGACATCCAAAGACAGCATCTAAAGGGTAGGATTCCATGCCTGAAACACAGGAAAGCAATGGAAAGCTTCATGAGTTTGCAGCTTTTTGCTAAAGAGCATTATCCATCCACGTGTGGGTCTGGACAGAGCATATAGAAAGTTAGGGTAAAATCCTGAAGGAGAGGGAGCCCAGAAGAGGATGCACTAAAACATGCATGTAAATTCCACCCGACTTATTGGTGGGCTGCTAAATACACAGTGGCAGTGGGAGATGCCCCATGGAGCCCAACAAAAAAATGAAGCAGCGAGAAACTGAAGAACTAAGAGTCCATTTCAGCTACTGACGTCTGCAGAGGAGACACAGGATGGAGTCTGGGTTCAGAGGAGCTCACTGCCTCCTAAAACAAGCTCAGCACACTTGAAGGGAACGAAAACTCAGCGTCTCCATACTGTATCATGGGCATTCAAATTACAATCCAAAATCACTGGGCATAGTAAGAAGCAAGAAAATGGGACCAAAAATCAAGCAAAATAAGTCAATAGAAATTAAACCCAAAAGTTTGCAGATGTTGAAATGAGCAAAGTCTGTAGAGCAGGTATTATAAATATGTTTTAAGGATTTCTAGGAAAATCTACAGAATGAATGGAAGAGGGAAAATGGAATCTCATGTGAAAAGCACAATAGCTGATATGATATTTTTAATGGGTAGGCTTAACCACAGACTGACAGAAAAAAATAAGTAAACTTGAAGATTGAACAGGAATAATACATTTTGAAGGAGACAGAGAATCAAGGCTATATTAACACAACAAAAGATAATCATAGTCTTAGTAAACCGTGGGAAATGTCAAGCAGCCTAACATATGTGCTGCTGCCACCCAAGAAGGAGAAGACAGATATCAAGGGTAAGAAAATAAAATATGTACAGAAACAGTGGCTGGAAAAAACTCCCAATATAGTGATAAGCAGAACCCAGTGAGTCCAAAAACTCATTGAAACCTAAGTGAAACAAGAAGAAAACCACAACAGTGTCCACCATAATTATTGCTAAACTATAAATTCGCTAAAGCCAAAGTTAAAAAGAAGATCTTATGTGTACCCACAGAGAAACAACACTTCTCACTTAGAGAAGGAAATGAGAGGAGTATCACACGACTTCTCATTATAAATGATGTAAGGCACAAGACAATGAAACACAGTTTTAAGGGCTAAAATAAATCTACAGCTAATGAAAAATATCCTGGAAAATGAGGTTGAAAAAGACATATCGGATTTTTTAAAACTGAGATTGTTCACCAATAAACCTGAACTTAAAAAACTGCTAAAAGGGGCCAGGCTCGGTGGCTCACACCTGTAATCCCAGCACTTTGGGAGGCTGAGGCGGGTGGACCACGAGGTCAAGAGATCGAGACCATCCTGGTCAACATTGTGAAACCCCATCTCTACTAAAGATACAAAAAATTAGCTGGGCATGGTGGCACGTGCCTGTAATCCCAGCTACTTGAGAGGCTGAGACAGGAGAATTGCCTGAACCCAGGAGGCAGAGGTTGTGGTGAGCCAAGATCACGCCATTGCACTCCAGCCTGGGTAACAAGAGTGAAACTCCGTCTCAAAAGAAAAAAAAAAACCTGCTAAAAGGAAGTCCTTCTAGCCTAAAAGAAATGACATCAGGGCTAGACATGGTGGCTCATACCTATAATCCCAGCACTTTGAGAGGCTGAGGTGGATGGATCACCTGAGGTCAAAAGTTCAAGATCAGCCTGGCCAACATGGCGAAATCTTGTCTCTACTAAAAATATAAAAGTTATCCAGGTGTCGTGGCAGGTGCATGTAATCCCAGCTACTTGGGAGGCTGAGGCAGGAGATTCTCTTGAACCCAGGAGGTGGAGGTTGTGGTAAGCCAAGATGGTGCCATTCCACTCCAGCCTGGGCAACAAGAGCGAAACTGCATAAAAAAAGAAGAGGGGAGGGCAGGGGAGGAGAGGGGAGGGGAGAAGAGGGGAGGTGAGAAGAGGGGAGGGGAGGAGAGGAGAGCGGTCTGAATAAAGGAATAAAGAATTCCAGAATTGGGCCGGGCTCGGTGGCTCACGCCTGTAATCCCAGCACTTTGGGAGGCCGAGGCAGGTGGATCACGAGGTCAAGAGATCGAGACCATACTGGACAGCATGGTGAAACCCCGTCTCTACTAAAAATACAAAAAATTAGCTGGGCACTGTGGCGCATGCCTGTAATCCCAGCTACTCAGGAGGCTGAGGCAGGAGAATTGCCTGAACCCAGGCGGAGGTTGCAGTGAGCTGAGATCACGCCATTGCACTCCAGCCTGGGTAACAAGAGCGAAACTCCATCTCAAAAAAAAAAAAAAAGAATACCAGAATTGGAAAAATTGCAAATAGCTTTCTTCTTTCTGTAATTTATTTAGAAGGCATATTACTGTCTAAAGCAATACTTATAACAATGTATTTGGGGTTAATGTTTGTACAGATTATATATATACACACACATAAAATATATATATACACACACAATATCAACACAAAGGCTGTATTGGCCATGGCTGACCACTGCAATAAATCAAGAAAAGGGAGTAGCATATGGAGAGAGAGAAGCCCAACGGTCTTTATTTATCACTATTATGCTTGTCTACATAGAAATCTTAAAAATGTGTTTTCCTACTCAGTATGGTATTTAAAAGGAATTGATGTTAAACATTTCAGAAACCACTCCATATAACTGCAGATGTTCTACATTTTTCTGGTCATGGTCCATGGAGGTCAAGCCTTTTTGTCAGACCGTGTCTTTCCCAAATGACTTTATAAAATCTGCTCACAAGGGGAAGAGTTTGCAGCAACTAGACATTTGCTCTGTTTAGTCTAAAGCAAAGCTCCTCCCACTACCAGAAGAGAGGGTCACTGGTATCCACGATCTGATAGTAACCATTTGACATGACAGCTTGCAACATATAGGTGAATGGGATCAGTAAAGAATGAACATGTGATGAACCTTTCTTAGAGTACCGGCTGATTAAAGAGATGCCAGAGGGCATGAGGGAGAAGTTCCCTCCTCTCGGCAAAGCGGTTTGTGTGAACCATTCATTCAGATAGGCTCTAGAAGTTTCCAGGCCGTCACTGAGGCTCACAACAAAAGTCAGTCTTCAAGAGAGACGCAGATAGCGGCCTCAGATTTCCAGCTCACTTAGTTATAGCATCACTAAAGAATCCATATGGAACATGGATTGGAATTCTGGTAAAACCAGAAGCCACTGTCAGGTGACATTCAGGCAGTGGCTGTGTGACCTTAGCAATGACCACTAAGGTATGGCCTGATCCATTCAGTCTGAAGATCTATACACTTCATTAGAAAACACATCAAGTCACTGAACTGCCTTCTTTTTCGCCATTTACTGCGATTGTAATTGTCTATGTAGAAAAAGTTAAAATATCTTCAAATATGAGGTCATACACAAAATGAAATTGTATTTCTCATTCCAGCAAAATAAAGAAAATAATATGTTTAAATATTAATGTACAGCAGACTCGAAATAATAAAATGCTTAGATATAAACTTAAAAATGAACAAGTTTTTAATTTTAAAAAGGTAGTTTAATATAAAATCTAAGTAGACAGTATGTATAGTGTAATACATGAAACAAACACTAAAAAAAGTACAAAAACAAAATAAAATATGTTTAAACAGAATGAAAAACATATTTGGTTCAGCCAAAAGGTCATGAGGAAAAAAACAATTTGGAGAACAAAAATTAGATAAGACCCTCCCATAGAAAATTGTAAGTAACAATATGATAGACCTTAATCAAACCATATCAATGATCACATTAGATAAAAACTGATCACACGCCAAATAGTACAAAGAAGGGTGAGAGGAATATAGGTAAGTGTGCAGTTCGTTCAGGTTTCAACATTAGCCTGTTTTGTAGAAATGCATGAATGCATAGTTGCATGTGTTGATTATTTTATGTAGCATCAACTACGTAAAATACTCTTTTTTTTTAATTGCATTTTAGGTTTTGGGGTACATGTGCAGATCATACAAGATAGTTGCATAGGTACACACATGGCAGTGTGTTTTGCTGCCGTCTTCCCCTTCACCCACATTTGGCATTTCTCCCCAGGTTATCCCTCCCCCCTCCCCCCCGCCCAGCCGCTGTCCCTCCCCTATTCCCCCCAGTAGACCCCAGTGTGTAGTACTCCCTTCCCTGTGTCCATGTGTTCTCATTTTTCATCACCCGCCTATGAGCGAGAATATGCAGTATTTCATTTTCTGTTCTTGTGTCAGTTTGCTGAGAATGATGTTCTCCAAATTCATCCATGTCCCTACAAAGGACACAACTCATCCTTTTTGATTGCTGCATAATATTCCATGGTGTATATGTGCCACATTTTCCGGGCATCAACACTCTTTAAAGGATTTCATTCAATAATGTAACATTCAGAATTTTTGAGTCTTTATTGCGGGTTCAGTCTATTATTTCATAGATAGCACAATATTAGAAAAGAGTTGAAGTTCTCCCACTTTTACTCACAATTGTAAATCCAAGGTGAGAGCAGGAACAAGAGCAGAAAGAAGCCTCCAGAAGCACTGGAGTGATGTGGCCACAGTAGGGAGGGGCCAGCTCCCTGGCTCCCTCAGAGTCACTGGCCTCTCCTTAAACCCAAAGGACTATTATCCATTTTTGGAAATGAACAGAGCCAGGAAACAATACACATGCCATTATACAACATGTGGATATTAGAAATTTTAAAAGTTAGATAATATGCATCGGAATGCTAGAGAAGGGAAAAGTCAATCACTGGCTCCCTCAATGGCATTTTGAAAAGTTAGACTCATGAGGGATTAAAAGGAGGAAAACATGACCCCATTATTTTTAAAATGGCAAAACTATAAACCAAAGGTCTCTAGGCCAGAAAGTGTAACAATAGCCACCAAACGAACTTGGCAAAGTCTGTGAAAGACACAGTTAGAAGAACCCCTGGCAAAGCAAAGTTGAAGATGACTGGGCAGGAGAGGCCATGCTGAGATGACCCAGAGGAACTTCTGAAGT